ATATAAACGCTGCTTAGAACACTTCCGTTCATTCCACATGGTGCTGCAGTGGCAGCTGGAGGGCAGTGGAGAGAGGAAGGGAGGATGAGGAAGGGAAGCGAAAAATCTACCGTCATATCATGATTGTGTCCCTTCTACTGTATGAAACACCATTGTGTTGCATACGCGTCACTTCCAGGAGGTGTTGGTGTCACAGGAGGAAGGGACCATAGCGGAGGATAGAAAGCTTGCGCAGGAAAGGAAGGTCCCGGCGGTTGACGGGGGACTAATCTGGTAAACAAAATAATAGATACGGTTCGTTTCGCTCCTTCCTCAGACGAACCTTATTATTTCGTCAATCCCCGGAGCCAGCACCTGATAAGGGATGAGCGTCTGCTTGCACACTGGTGGCGTAATGATTGGCTCTTTTCATACACGTCGTGTATTCAATGAATCTGAAGCATCTTCATATTGGGTAAGAAGGTTTTTCTAAGCAAAGGAACGATCGATCCTAGTTTCCGGAATAATGTGGGACGCGAAGCGAAATTTTTTTTTCTATTGGATCTCATTGAGTATCCCGTTTTTTTGGGAGCTGCGTTAGAAAGTGATAGCATTATGGAGAACTCTCTTTCCTATTGGTTGATCATTTCCCTCCCCTAGTGTTATTTTCTCTAGTTTGCAAAGTACGGTCATTACCATAGCAAAGAGCCTGTTTCAGTGATTCGCTTCTTGATCAAGATCAGTTTTATGAGTGTTGTGCTCGCTGGTCTAGCTGCCACGGTGGGAATTCTCTTGAATTGTGCCGATGGCGGAAAAAGCATCCCTGGAAGCAAGGTACGATTCATATTAGTCTCTTAATATGCATGATATAAAAGGTATAACTGGTGTTTTCAGCCACTTTGCGCTGATTTGACGAATCTGGCCGAGTTCAAGAGCCCATCTCCTCAATTCCTTGCAAATGTTCAAAAAACTTATGGAACTGTGTTCAATGGCTACTATGCACGTGTACAGCCTACGGTATTGGCTGCAAAGAAAAAATGGAATGATTTCCATCGCGAGTTCGTCAAGTCTGATATTGGCCTCGTTATTGACAGGTACGTTCCTCTTCCATTTCTTTCAAAGTATAACGAACAAGTTTTTTCGCATAATTTAAAAAGATTCCTTCAAATATTCGTTTTCTCGGGGAAAGGTGGACCATTTATCGGGAGTAGTTATGAAGACTTCTTTTTTCATGATGGCTGCACTTTTAATTTCTGTTTTTCCTTATTAATTTCTGTTTTCCCACGTTTCTATGTTGTTTTTTTTTTGATATTTTTCTTTTCTCAAGTCAGAACCGTGCACTTGCTTTCCTTTTTAGCCATGGCGTGTAAATACAGTAAAATTTTCTAGAAAAAGAAATCTGTTATGGCGAACTTCTTTTAGATGATTTGTAGGTAGCCTTTACCACGGTGCACCCACAAACTTTTCTGAAATCTTTTTTTTTTCTCGCAATTTGGAGATAGAATTGGAATGATTATGAGTTATCGTTCCTGTCGTGAGTGGGACTTGAAGAGTGTAATTGATGATTCAACAATTTCTTCATTATACCCTTAGAAGATAACTTAAATGATTGAGGCAGATTAACTAGTAGTAAAAACCTGAATAGGATCTATGAGTTACTGCGTATCAGGAAATTTAATACTTTAAGGTATTATCACAAAATCCACGCGTTTGTCGTTGACACTTCATTGAAATTCGTGCGATTCCTGCAAACCCAGGTGAATTCAAGTCTACTGATTTTCCTGTTTTCTTTCTTTGCTATTTTATCTTCTTTGCTTAAATTCCTTTTGTCGCTTTAACCTTCCCAAATACAGCGAGTAGCACTCGAGCAGTGGTGGGAAAGTGATGGACGTGATCGAATAGGTGGTATCGTGGATACGATTCAAGTTACAGTCGGCGTGATGACAGAGATTATCAAGGATATGCTGCAATTAACTTTTGGTATGTTGTTTTTACTGCTCTTTTTATTTCACTTTGAATTAATTTTCTATAGTGGAATTTTCATTTGAATCGTGCTCGCTCTTTGTTCATCTTCTGCTTCCTTACCGATTAGAGTGCGTTTATACTCAGTGAAGATGTCGCAAGCCGCCTCTTT